CTAAGAGGTCTTGGCCTGGAGTGGCAGCTGGAAACTGAAAAGCTACAGAATTTGTTCTACCAAGTCCAAAGGAACTGGAAGCCTGTAAAAGAAAGTGCTTATCACATTCTTTACCAAATATTTGTTGGTGCTATTTCTCAGAGCATTGTTGTCAAATCAGAAGTAACTTACTATGTAACATACTATGTATACGTTTTTTAAAATCAAGTGCATTGACTGTATTTTTTATTGTGGTAAAATATACAGGACATATTTAATATCTTTACTACTGTGCCTACAATATAATAGCATTTGCGTTGTTGTCTAACCATCATTCCTTTCCATCCTCAGAACTTTTCTGTTATCTTAAACTAAAACCCTGTACCCATTAAACAATAGCTCTCCAGTCCCACACTGCTTCCCCAGTCCCTATTAGCTATTCTACTTTCTCTGTGAAGTTGATTATCCTAGGTTCCTCCTATAAGTGGAATCACATATCTGTCCTTTTGTGTCAGGCCTATTGCACTTAGCGTAATGCTTTAGTTTTTTCCTCATTGTAGCATATGTCAGAATTTCCTTCTTAAGGCTGAATAATATTCCATTGTGTACACATATCCATTCACCTATTGATAGACATGGGGAGGGGTTGTTTCCCTCTTATGATTATTATGAATAATGTTGCTATGAACACTGCTGTGCAGTATCTTTGTGAATGTGCTTGCAAGTAACACCTCACTGTGATTTTGATTTACATAGCCCAAATGATTAACAATATTAAGCATCTTTTTATGGGCTTACTGACATTTTTATATCTTCTTTAGATAAATGTCATTCAAGTTCTTTGGCCATCTTTGAATTGAGTTGTTGGAATGTGTTATTTTTCAATGATGAAGAATTAATGATTAAAAGCAAAATACAAATGCCAACAAGTAAGTAGGGCCCCTGGGTGAGCCCTTTAGGCAGGGTACTACCTTGGATATTTCTTGGGAAGCAGGGTTACTACCCTGGATTAGCACAGTATTGAGATGCCAGACAAAAAAAGAAAGTCTGTTACACCTTTATGGGAATAAAATGTACACCTTTCTTCTCATCCTTCTAATAGCCCTCTTCTAGGAAGTAGAAAGAGTTGTTTTTTTTAAATTTTGGGGCATTTTCCATTGTTCCTGGGACACTCCTGAATCAGCCCCTGAGAGATACAATGTTTTCCACAAGAATAATGTTAATTTCTATGAGGAAAATCCACTTTTGCAAGTACAGCTCCTTCTCTATCTCCAGTACTGTCTCTGTATGCTTATCTAAGAACCATTAGTCATTACTGAAAATATGGGTCAGAGTGGCTGATAGGAGTGGCAGTTCATTCAGAGCAACTGCCCTGTGATTTTCCATCTGTGGCTCAGATTTAAGTGCTTATTTTGTCATCTCTATCACCTTATCTTCAGCTGTCCCTTCAAAATTTTGGGGGTTTTTATTTTGTGTGGGTGGGGGATTACAGCTTGTATTCTCAGTAAATTTAAAAAAATAAAAAATATTGAGTACAGAAGAGATGTCAACAGTACAGACTTTGGAGCCAGACTAGTTAGATTTCCAACCCAGTTCAACTTGCTAGTTGGGGTAGCTCAATGAATCCCCTAGTCATTCTGCATGTCAATTTCCTCATCTGTAAAATCTTTCTGTACAATGGTTGCAGAGATGATTACTTTAAATATTCATTCATCAAGTGTTGCAACAATGCCTGGACCATAAGAGGACTGAAAGCATACATCTATACAAATGCATGCCCATCAATGTCTACAGTGGCTTTATTTGTTGTAACCAAATGCTACCCACAAACTAATAATCCATCACAAAGAAAGAATGAACCACTGATTTATGCTACTGCATAAATAAATCTCAAAATAAATATGCTTAACAAAAGCCAAAGCAAAAAAAGAAAAGGACATGTTCTTTTAATTTAACAAAATTCTAAAAAATTACAAAAGAATCCATAGTGACCAAGGAAATAGTAATTGCCTGGGAGATCAAAAACAACTGGAAATATTACAAAAGGGTATGAGGAGAAACTTCTTTTTTTCTTTTTTTTTTTTTTGGTACCGGGGATCAAACTCGGGTCCTTGCGCTCGTGCAGCAGGTGGCAAAACCCATGAGCTAAATCCCCGGCCTGAGGAGATATTTCTAAAGGGAAGGTAGTGATGGATATTTCAACCACTTTGAGTATGGTGATAGTTTACAGGTGTATACCCCTGTCAAAACATATCAAATTATATACTTTAAATATGTGCCTTTTATTGTATGTCAATTAAAACTCAGTAAATCTCTTCTAATTTAAAAAACAAAATCAATAGCTGGCCATTAGAAAATGCTGTATAAATCTGACTCCCTTTCAGACTGTCATCATCATGGCACGGAGTGCTTAGAGCACTCACACAATTTCTTCACAATGGTTTCAAGAAGAGAGGCTCACAAAAGAATTTTAATTTCTACTCCATGGATTTATTACTTATTATTAAAAGTAAGAGTAAATCAAATGGCAACTGGCCAAGAGAATATACGCAAACTCCCACTAACACTAACGTAGCTAAGAAGACATAGAGATTAAAAAACAAAACCACCAAATATTTAAAACTGATGTTGCCAATCAAGGGCTTAAAGCCTACAGGAAACTGCTGAACCTACAATAAGACTCACAGAGGCAATGGACAATGTGACATCAGTCCATGTATACCCTGCTGCAACTCCCATCCCTTTACAGATATTGAGACTTTTTTCTTCTGTCCTTTAGCAATTAAAATGAGAAACTAGTACCAATTGAGAAATAGAGTCCCCTTTTTTTCACAATCAGCTTATTTGGGTTTTTTGTGTGTTCTGAGGCAGTTATTGAGTTGCAACCACCCTAATGGGGGTCAGTTTCTTTCCATCTTCACTGAGCAACTATAACTCCCAAGTCCTCTCCGAAGGAACAGGGAAGGGTGAGATCAGATGTGTCCTGAAGAAGCTTGATTTTAGTCTCACCCAAGTCATTCTCCTGGAAAAATCACATAGAAGCTTATTTGTCCAAGAGGAAAGGGCTTATCTTTAAGGAATCACTTGAAAATGTGCTCTAGTCAAGAGGAATGAGAAAAGGTTATAAAAAAAGCAGGCAAAGAACACTACCATGGAACCTCAGTAAACACGACAGCCAACTTAACCCTCCAATTTCTCAGTGAGGCCTTCAGCAGCCACACCTGACATGGTGGTTCCCATGAAGCACCACACAGAACCTGTAGGAGCAGAGTCCACTTCCACAGTGGCATCTGAACAAGGTTCCAAAGAAAATGGCCATATTAGGGATTGTCATTGCTCATAGGAATAATTGTTACCGTACATAAGAATTCTCCCTCCCTCTTTCCTAAAGCAGAAACTTTATTCAATGTAATCACTATGGCAATCCCTACATCAAAAACATGGAGCTATAGCTATTAAGAGAAATGTCCCTAAAATGGTGTAGCCACTTTGGAAAAAGTTGGTAATTCCTCAAAGGTGAAGTAGAGAGTTATCATATGAAGCCCAATAAAGCTGTTATTCGTGAGAAAAATACTTCTTGATTTTTTTTTTTTTTGTACTGGGGATTGAACTGGGGACCTTTCACTTGGCAGCGGAACCACTGAGCTAAAACCTCGGCCCACCCCTTGATTATCAATGCAAGTTTTTGGCGATAGCCAGGGGTTTTGATTTGTTTCTACTTTTCTGTTTTTGCCAAATTTTCTTACTCTAAACGGAGCTATTACTTTACCAATTGAGCTCTGGAGTCAGGCTCTACTGGACTCAAATCCAAGCTCCTCCAGGACAGACCAGATAATCTTGGACAAGGCACTTAATTATTCTAAATCTGTTTTATCATATGAAATTAGAAGAATTATACCTCTTACCTTATGGACTAATTATGAAAGTTTTTGTTTTAATTATGAAAGTTTAAAGAGAGGATGTTATAAAGTATTTAGCTCTATCTCTGGAATCTTAGTGATCAAGAAATATCAGCTTTCATTTTTATTACTAAAAATACAAGGCCAGCAGGTACAATGGAACTGGATTATAGTCCCAACTCCTGGGGAGGTGGGGTCAGAAGATCACTTGAGCCTAGGAATTGCCTAGGCAATACAGCAAGGCCCCATCTTTTGAAAACCATTTGAAAAGGCGGTAAAAGAACACCAACAATAATTACAGCTAGCGCTTACATAGCACTGCTGTAGCTGTTCAGTTTCACACACTTAATTCTCTTTTACGGAGTGGATGAACCATTGCAATTTGTATGTTTTATAGGAATTTGGGAGCAAATGAAGAACACAGAGAGCTAAGGCAATCCGGAGACTTCATGAAGGTGATGGGCCTGGGAGGAAAGGAGGGTAGGCCATGGAGAATTCCACCTGGTTGGAGAGGGCAATGAGGGCCTTGCAGGTGAAAAGAGAGTTACGTGAACATGGAGATAGAAATACTAAAGTTTGTTCAGTCGGGATGATGAGCACATAGGTATCATTTTTTGGACTTGTCTGCATTTTAGAAATAATTACTAACAAAATTAATATTTAACCACCATGCTCTGGAAAATGAAAAACATTTTCTTTCCTGCAGACTTTGATCCTGCTATGTATAGTACTTGTAAGAAACATTTGCTGATGTAGGACGAACAAATGGCCAGTTTATTCTTTCTAAAATAAACTTTCCCAATTAAAGTTTTACTTACTACACCTTGAAGTTCTTTCCCATCTCTACCTACTTCATCCCGTTACCACTGCACAATATTCCATTGTAAGAATGTTCCACGATTTCTCTACTCTTCCATAGATCCCAATTTTCCGCTTCTAGAAGGATCGTTTATAATACTGTAGTGTTTGTGAGACTGCATAGGTGCATCTGCACACAGCTGTTACTCTCACGTTGATATCAGGAAGTGGAATGGTTGGCCATACGTTCGATTTTTTCAAAGTAGCCTGTGGACTTGAACCCCAGCAGTTTTTCCCAGCCCAGGTGCCAAGACACTGGGGCTCCATGCGCCCTCGGGTGCGCGCAGACCCAGCGGCGGCGGCGTCGAAGCCTTCTGGGTTACCGGATTAGGTGCGAAGGCTCAGACACCTACTACCCTCGGGGCACGCTTGCGGCTCTTTTCGTTGAGAAACGATTTGGCGATCACGTGAAAGATGCATGCGGCCTCGTGACGTCACGGTACTCGGACCAATGGGAGCCTCTGTTTATGTAGAGGCCCCGGACTACTAACGCCCCCGCCCGCTCCGAAGGAGAGAGCGGAGCGTGAGTGGGCGGAAGCGCGCTGGGAGGGCTGCGCGGGTTGCCCTCTGCAGCCGCGTCTCCGCCATCCCCTCGCCGTCCCGGGGCGTTGTACGTCTCCTTCCGGGACCGAAGCCGCCCGCAGCAGTGGGCAGCCCCAGCCGCGCCCCCCCTCAGCGCCCGGAGGACATGCTGGAGAGAGAATGAGCCAGAGGGACACGCTGGTGCATCTGTTTGCCGGGGGGTACGGTCCATCCGGGGGTGGAGCCGGAGCTGGGGGCGAACGAAGCGGGCGAGGGGAGCTGAAGCCCGACGAGGATGGCTGAGGGCGACCAGGCCGCAGGGCACGGCCTAGCAGGGCCCGGCCTGCGGGGCCAGTGAGGAGCCCACCAACTGAGGCCTCGGGGCCGCAGGGCCACGGGGCGGGACTGTGGAGGCCGGGGACAAAATGGGCGCCGGGCCGCCTCGGCTGCTGTGGTGCTGCGCAGCGGGGCCTCCTCACGTCGCTCACGCGCGGTGGCGTCTTCCGGCCCGGCTCTCGGGGGCGTGCCCAGGACGTCGGAGGGTCCGTGCCCAGAGGACTCGGGTTAGGTTTGCGGCTGGTGGCTGCAGGTTATTTGTAGCTCTGGGAATTTTCCTTCCTGAGCTTTCCAGGCTGCAAGATGTGATGCAAAGCGGCCCTGCCTTTGGGACCGGATTTTTCTCCCCAGGCAAACCAGTTCTCTTGCACTTTCGCTGTTTTTCGGATGCATAAAAGGGAAAATGAGGGTGGAAAGAAGTCAGCTATTTTGATGATAGTTTTTTTGTGTGTGTACTAGATTAGGACTAAGTCTTAGTTCCTTGGTTACCAGCGTGAATGCTACAGCCATTTTGCGGACCCAGTTGTCTTCTGTTAGATAGGCTCCTTCCAAATTATTCGGAAACTTACAGCAATTTTGAGTTATTTTTATCTGTAGGATTATGGCGTTGTCTTACCAAAATTGGCTAAAGTGACTTATGTTAAGACTTTAAAAAAAAAAGCTATATAGTCATATAAAGTAGCATCCCCTTAAACCCTAACGTTTGTTTCTGGATCAACCCCTCGGACCGTATTACGTGCGCAGTTCTATTTATGGTATCTTGCATTGAATTGGTTTTATGGACTGTTTCCACTGATGGCAATACTTAGTCGGTACATATTGACTCAACAGACATTTATTATACACCAGTTATGGGCCAGCCACTGTTTTGGCATAAAAGCAACACATTTCCAATTTATGAGACCTAGTTTGCTTTTCATATTTCCCTAATGTGTATTGCCAATAATAAACCAAGTTGAATAATTTTTTTTAAATCCAATAGCTATGTGTATGTTCTTGAAAAGTAAAGATGTCATGCAAATAATTGGATTCCCACGTGTAGTGTAATTAAATCGTATGACAACACTTGAAAGACCACAGACATAGGTCCACTTTTTAATTGGGTATAACATTGACAGACCTGTTAATTTTAAGTGCTTCGTCTGTAAAGGGAGGGGATTGTGCTGTACTATATGATCTAAAGTTCCTTCTCAAATCCTAACATCTGCATTCAGGATTCATGTCAAGTTTTGCTGAAAGTATAGAACACTAGGCCTGGGATTTAGCTCAGTGGTGCCGCTGCCTGCCTCGAAAGCCCAAGGGTTCTGAGTTCGATCCCCGGTACCAAAAAAAAAAGTATAGAATACTTATATTTGAAATAAATGTTAGCTTGATTGTGCTAATTTCCCAGCTTGGATTAGGATCCTCAGCCACTTTATTTTTATTAATAGGTGTTAATTTAGGCTTTTCTGTTTAGCTTGCTCTTTAAAAACAGGAGTGGAAAGTTTTTGTACTATATGAACACAGGTTAGAAGCTTCCTAGACCTCCCAACAAAGTATAGCATGTGCTACAGATTATTTAGTGTTAAATAGAATAGTGGCAGGTAGGATCTGTCTGATCTAGGCTAGGTGCTCAGGCTTGTAAAATTCCCTTCTTTTGAATGTCTTTTTTGTATGTTTCTATGTGTTAGCATGTGATTTCCATGAAACATGCTTTATCTTTTTAGAGAAGCAGAATAAGGAAGGATGCTAAAGGACATCTGTATTAGACCCTCAAAATAGGAGAAAATACTCAGATGTAAAAAGTTCACATACCTAAGGTCAAACAGCTTTTCATACATGTAAATGAGGGTAAGTACTCTTAAAACGTCCTGCAAGTTACAAATTCAATTTTAAAGAATATTCAGTGAGTCTGCTATGTGTTAAGCATTATAGAAGTACAGAGAAGATTGAGTTGGTAGTCTTATTAATTGAAGGTACATAATTCTTTACAAGTCAATGGTGCATATTTAGGCTATAATTTTTAAAACATCCTTCATAAAAGACTAGATTTATTTCTTATCTGATAGAATTGTATACTTTGCAAGTTGTGATATTTATTTACTTTGATAACAACTACATAGGGAAAGAGCAGTTTCTTTTTATGAGTTGTTTGCCTGGGCTCCTTCACACACAGGTATCCTTTGGATTAAGTCCGGCATACTTTAAAGGAAACAAGAATAATGTTTCACAGTAGTATTTTAAACTAAGGCAAGGATTTTCTTAACATGGAGACTTTATGATATTTTCCTGATTATTAAAATTGAATATATTCAAATATGTGTTTATCAGGATCTTAGAAAAATTTTTAATAGTCTGAGACCTTGGGTCTGGATGACACACTCACGTGCATACATACTCACGTGCATAACTCGTGCTTTCTTTAAGACACCCTTTGGTCTGATTATGGATTTGCCAGAGTTAATGTTCAGAGTTTGTGAGGTCATTGGTTAGGTTAATTGAGTTACAGAGGCGTATCCATGGCAGTCTGCATGATTTGGTTTTAGCTGCACCTCTAATACACTGTATGTCTGTATATAGAGATAAAATTTGAAATGGATTTTTAAATATTTTGATAGAATTACAAATTGTCTTAATTATTGTATCAACTATGTAAGTCTACCAAGAAGTCATTTGTTCTCTCTTTTCTTTCTTTCTGGAGGGGGAACTGTTTCAAATGGAAGCAATAAACATTCAGTTTTCTTTCTTTCTTTTTTTTGAGACAAGTTCTCACTCACAGTGTAGCCAGGCTGATCTCAAACTTGCAGTGATCCTCCCACCTCAGCCTCTCCAGTTCTGGGATTACAAGTGTGGGCCACCACACCCAGCACATTTAGAGTTTTAAGTGGACGAATTTTTTTCTGTTAGTTCTTAAAGAGCTTAATATAGTTACTATTGCAGATTATCTAAGGCACTTTCTTATGGTATTATAGAATTCATTTATTAAATCATTTAATTCAGTAAGAAACTTCCATGTTCTTATGATGATTTTTGTTTTCACTTGCTTTACTGTAAGATCAGGGCAGCAGTAGAATGCAGTACTTACAAGAGTAATTAACATGGTTTATTTCCGCAGTACTGTCTTTTTTTCCCTACTATTCCCATTTCCTTGATGTTTATTCTCTCACCTTCCTGTGTCTTAGTCCATTAGCGCTGCCATAATAAAATAGCATAAGTCAGGTGGCTTATAAACTACAAACATTTATTTCTGACAGTTCTGGAGCCTGAGAAGTCCAACATTAAGACACTAGCAGACTTGGTGTCTGGTGAAGGCCTGCTTCTTCATAGACTACTTTCTGACTGTGTCCTCATATGGTTGAGAGCTAGCTAGCTTTTTTTTTTATAAGAACACTAATCCCAAATACTAAGGTTGTGCCTTTATTAATTACTTTATTACTTTTAATTGCCTTTATTACTTAATTTCTTAAGTACCTCCTCCTAATATTATCACTCAGGATGACAGTATGAATTTGGAAGGATACATTTAGATATCCTTTTGTTCCTTTTTTTATTTTTATTTTTTGGTACCAGAGATCAAACCGAGGACCTCACACTTGCCAGGCAGGCCCTGTGCCGCTGAGCTACATCCCTGGCCCCCTTTTTTTCCCCTTCTAAAAATTTCATTTTCACTAATATTTTGAAAAACTAAGAAGTTGATTATTCTTATTTTCTCAAAGAAACTATTTCCCATAAATTGATTAGTATAGCACAGCAGGAGGGGTCCAGGACTCCTGAGAGCTCCTAAGAACCTCTGTTGGTCAGAGATATTAAAATGACTTTTCATAAGAATAATAAGACATTAATTGCCTTTTCACAAATTCGTTGACATTTGTGATGGTGTAAAAGTAATGCTGTGTAAAGGCAGCCACACTGAACTGTACTAATAATCATTGTATTCTTCATCTCAAAGCACTTGGAATTTTTTAAAATGGTTCATTTCACTTTTGTGAAGGGGTTAAAAACAATAGTAATTTTATTACCTTTTAACTTATGAGTGTACATCTTAACATTCTATGTGGCGAAACAGGAAATAGGCAGAAAAGCTTTCTGCATACCAAATTGTAGTTCTGCAGTTGTTTAAATTTGCAAGCTGAGCTAACCTTTTTCATGGTGAACCATTCTTAAACTATTAATAGGCTAAACTGGGAAACATTTTTCTCAAAAAAAATGTAGAGAGCCTGTTGCTTTAAAGAAAACTACTGAAAGGCATTTGTTGCCCAAGATAAAATAATTTTAAAGCAAAAATTAGAGTTTGTGAAATCTTGAGCTAATCCCCCCAACCTCCAGTGTGACAGTTTCCTAGTTCCTAAAGATGTTTCTGTTAAGTGCTGTTTAGAAAGTATACATTGTAGGGCCAGGGATGGTTCTGGTGCTTGCCTTGCAGGCAAGGTCCTGAGTTCAGTCACAGGTAACAAAAACAAAAACAAGAAAGTTTACATTGTTTCTTACAATAAAATGTATCGACATCTGGAAGTATAACCCAAACCCACTGAATCAATATTTTTCAAATGACTTGTTAGTATAAGATGGACCAGCGGATTTTAATGTAACAGCATGAAAAATTTTTTGGCATTTATTTCTATGGGTTCAAATTGTACATGCAGATAATCTTTAAAAACCTACCACTTATACAGTTTTAATGTAGTATTGAAGAATATACCCAGCTATCTGAACAGGACTGATTTGTGAAGCAAATGATATCATTAAAAGGTGTTAAATGCTATGGGGAAAAAAGTGGAGTAGCATCGGGAATGATGGGAGATCACTGCTGTTCTGTAGAAGAGAGTGATTATGAGTCAAATTGAGAAGATGATAGTTGAGCAAAGGCCTAGAGGGGAGGGAACTAACTGTGCAGAGGGAAAAGGCAGTGACAAGATCTAGGTTGTGAAAAAGGTAATGAGATGAGTATGGTCCTAGTAGTAGAGCATTATTAGACTATTGAGGGACTTTGGCTCTTTCTGTTAAGGGGAAGTAGTCATTGCAGGACTTCTAAAAGGCTAGTTCTGTCCATTGTGTTAGACTGTACCTGTGGCAAGGGCAAAAGTAGGGAGATGATTTATTTTAGTAATATGAATGAGTGGTAATGGTGGGTCTTACTAGGTTTGAGATAGTGGGCATTGTGAGAAATAGTTGAATTCTGGTTGTATTTCAAAGACACAATAAGAATTGTAACATATTGGATGTAGATACAAGAACAGGTAGACGTAAGAATAACTGGGGTTCTTTGGACATCCACAAGGTACAGTACATAATAATAATACAGAACAAAATTTTCCCCTACACCTTCTAGTCAGACAGAAACAGTAGCAGCTTCAACCAAGGTAGATACAGTGAGAGGGAATTGAGATTCTGGGTTGTATTTCCAAGTTCTAAATTACACACGTGGTACATACTGCTTTTTATGGACTTTCGTGGAATTCATCACACATCAGAAACGGTCACATATTTTCCAGTTTAAAACTTGTGGTATTTTTTAAAAAAAATATTGCAATAATTGTGCTAAAAATAAATTTAAAAATAAATGTATGTATACGGTAAAAAGAAAAAAAAAGGCTGCTGAAAGATAATAAAAGTCAGCATTCCCTCCCTCATTTCTTCCTATTGGAAATATACAAGCACTCCTATCTATTTCTTTCAGAATTTTTTTTCATACTTTCAAATATGTTCTGTTGCTTTTTCTAGATTTTTCAAATTCATATATGATACATAAATTTTTATTCTTGTAGATGAGGATTTAGTTATATTGTACCACTTCCCATTTCCCTTTCTATTTTTTCTGATATACTTACAGTTATAACAGTTTTTTTAGTCATCGCTTACCTTATTGTGACAATATATTGTTCAGCCAAGTTATATATTCTGCTGGCTTTTTCTGTTTTGAATTACTTCATTTTTCTTCCCCTGGGATTAGTATTTGCTAGCCTTTGATTTTTTCTTAATTATGTAAATATTTATTCTTGAATGTTTATTTTCATATGGTCGATGTATTTTTTTTATCAGTCTTCCCCCCCCGGAGATCTTGTCCTTCTTAGCTCTGCTAGTCTTTTTTTTTTTTGGTACCAGGGATCAAACTCTGGTCCTTGCGCTTGCACAGCAGGCGGCGAAACCACTGAGCTAAATCCCCAGCCCTTAGCTCTGGTATTCTAATCTTATCTAGATCGGTTATTTTTAAGCTTAGCACTTCACTATCATTTAGGGACACCTCTCTCTCCTAGCTATTCTGTTCCTGCATTCAGTCTTATCCTTTTTTTAGTATTTTGCCTTAATTTCTACAATACTACTTAGCTGTGTAGGAAGAGTACAAGATAGACAATTTCTTGAATATTTGACTCCAGGTGTAGTTTATCTGTTTGATAGTTTGGTTTGGTTTTAACTGTGTAAGAAAATGGTACAAGGTGGACAATTTCTCGAATATATCTTTGTCTGCAGGTATAGTTTTATCTGTTTGGTAATTTGGTTTGGTTTCAGTTAACGTGTAAGAAAGGAATACGAGGTGAGAAATTTTTTGTGTACGTTGTCTAGTCTGTTTTCCAGTTTGGCTTGGTATAGAATTCTAGAATAAATAATGTTCTGCAGTTGTTGAGAAATCTGATGCTATTCTGATGATATTTTCCTTTTATGTGTGATCTTTTGTTCTTTCATTCTGGAAGTTGATGAAGTCTTTGTCATCTGCAGTACTTTTTTAAAGATTATAATAGTGCATCCTAATGTGGAGGGGGTTTTTTGTTTGTTTTTTGCATTGAATGTACTGTTAAACCTAAGGCTTAGACAGTCTTGAGTTTATGTTCTTTGGAGAATTAGGCTTCTTTGGAGAATTAGGAATATGGTTTTACCTTCCTGCGTGTGTGCATGTGTGCGTGCATGCATGCACGTAGAGCAAATATTCACTGGAGCATCCTACCTTTGCTGTACAGCCCATCAGCCAGTCATTTTTTTAGTTCTTTGCTTTACCTCCATCTTAAGTACTTGGTACCCTTAGTCACTAGGTTTCTTGGGAATTTTTCAGGACAAAACTATTTGCTTCTTTTGGTACTGTATTTCCCTTTGCAAGTCTTTGAGTTTCCTCTTTCCCATTTGCCTCATTGATTGAAGTTTTGTCTGCTGACACCACCTCACCGCAGTTTTGCCATTTCCAGAATACCTTAAAAGTGGAAATGTTTATCCATCAGTGATTTTTGTCTTACACTAAGAAGATCATTTATTGAGCGCCCCCCCCCCAATCACACTCAAGACCTTGCGCTTGCCAGGCACATGTGGCGCTACTGAGCTACATCCTCAGCCCACATTTATTGAGTTTTAAAAGGATAGAAATTTGAAAGATAGGATATACTTAAAATAAAGGAGGTTTTAACAGCTAATTATCTTCTCTGAGTATATATTATTTTGCAGTTCTTTTTAGCAGCTGTAGGCAATTACATGCAAATAAGTGAAAATTTAAAAATGTTAAAAAGTTATTGTAAGTTGGTAGAGCTTCAGATAACCACTTGGGTTACAGCTCTGGCCTGTGTACTAACTCACTAATTAAAGAGGTATTTGTGTTCTTCTCATTTCTTTCTAGATGTGGTGGCACAGTGGGAGCTATTCTGACATGTCCACTGGAAGTTGTAAAAACACGGCTGCAGTCGTCTTCTGTGACACTTTATATCTCTGAAGTTCAGCTGAACACCATGGCTGGAGCCAGTGTTAACCGAGTAGTGTCTCCTGGACCCCTCCATTGCCTAAAGTGAGAGCACAACATTCATAAGTTGCTGTTGTTGTTTTGTTTTAGTCTTAGTTTACCTTGATTCCCACGTTTGTTTATGTTCTGCCACATTGTAAAAGATTCTTAGAAACTGAGTAACAGCAGTTACTCTGAATTACATTCATTAAAAATGGTAATCCGTAATAGAGTAGAATCATTAGATGGGTAATACAAAAATATAATATTATTTCCTAATCATGTATATTTAGAATACTGTATTTTTCTACATTTACCCAATAAATTTCTAAAGCTGCTATAGGTATTTTATTTTGGATTGTTTTTTCATTTATTTTTGAAATGAGATACTGTTAATGCTAACTCTGTGTTTTTAGTTTTCCAAATACTTGCATAAGCAATTACATTTAATAATTGCAACCTGTGGTTTTTATATAACCTAAACCTAATTTGAAACAGAATTGAATTGACTTTAAAATGCTATTCAGTGGCTGTTTGATTTTTTCTGATGGCTTGAAAAGATTTGCTTTTACATTTTACTATGTTTTTTTTTTCCCTAAAATTCTTCTATTGGTACATTTTAGGTATACAGTACACTTAGATTTATCACTGGGTCCTTGTTACCTGTACATGATGTATCTTGGTTCTTATTTTTTCCCCATTCCCTGTCCTCCCTTCACCCCTTCCACCCTTCCCTATTTACCAAGACTTTGTTTCCATTTTTTCCTTTTCTCATAATTTTTCCTTTACTTTCCTTCCTCTCCACTTCCCCTACCCCTTTGGACCTTTTCTTCCTATTTCAAATTATCAGTTATTCATTTTAATCATCTTAATCCTTATTTACACTTTCAGTTTCTCACACCAGAAAAACTATTTGGTATTTACACATGTGTGTCCTATTTGTTTCACTTCAGAGGATGGCCTCAATGTGCATTCATTTAGCTATAAATGTCTCTAGTTTCTTATTCTTTATGGCTGAGTAGTACTCCATTTAATAAAAAAAGAACACATCTTTATCTAGTTTCCAGTTGATGGACACTTGGGCTGTTTCCAAGCTTTAGCTGTGACAGACTGCCCCTATAAACTTCGGTGCACATATATTGCTGTGGTATGATTCTTTTAATTCTTTTGGAAAGATACCCAGCAGGGGAATAGCTGGGTCAAATGGGACCTCTAGTCCTAGTTCTTTGAGGTATCTCCATACTGATTTCCATAGTGGTTGCCCCAGTCTCCACTCCCACCAACAATGGAGAAGGGTTCCTTTCTCCCCACACCCCCGCCAACATTTGTTATTGGTTGATTTCTTGATAGCAGCCATTCTTTCTGGGGTGAGGTGGAATCTCAGTATTGTTTTCACCTGCACCTCTCGAATGACCAGTGCTGTTGAACATTTTTTCATGTGTTCATTTGCTGCTTTAACTTCTTTGTGTGAGAAATGTCTCTTCATTTCAGATGCCCATTTTTTAATTGGGTCTTTGAATTTGAGGGGTCTGATTTTTTAAAGTTCTTTATATATTCTAGATAGTAGTCCTTTGTCTGAGGTACTGCTATTAAAAATTTTTTCCCACATTGTAGGTTGTCTCTTAGCTCTGTTGGTGGTTTCTCTTGCAGTGCAGAAGCTTTTTTTTGTTGTTGTTACTGGGGATCAAACTCGGGTCCTTGAGCTTGCTTGCAACACAAGCAGCGGAACCACTGAGCTAAATCACTGACCCCCCAGAAGCTTTTTAATAAGTTGAGATCCCAGTTGTTGATTCTTTGTGCTAGGTCCCATGCTACTGAGGTTTTGTTCATAAAGTCTTTTCCAATGCCAATGTCTTCAAGAGTTCTACCTAACTTATCTTCCAGCAAGTTTAGTGTTTCTGTTTTAATATTTAGATCTTTAATCCACTTTGATCTTAGTTTAATGCATAGTGATATAGGTATGGGTCTACTTTTAATCTTTGGCAGGTTGAAATCCAGTTTTTCCAATACCAGTTATTAAATAGGCTATCTTTCCTCCAGTGAGGGTGGTTGGCTCCTTTGTCAAAGATGAGGTGACTGGGTATGTCTAGAGTTGTTTCTGCATCTTCTAATCTATTCCACTGATCCTCAGGTCTGTTTCGTTGCCAGTACCATGCTGTTTTTATCACAGTAGCTTTGTATCATAGTTTCACGTTGGGGATTGTGATACTGCCTGCCATGTCTCTGTTGCCTAGAATTGCTTTTGCTATTCTAGGTCTCTTCTGGTTCCAAATGAATGTTTGGGTTGTTTTCTCTAGTTCTGTGAAATACATTGTTGGAATTTCAATCAGCATTGCATTAAATCTATATAGCAGTTTTGGAAATATGGCCATTTTGACTATATTGGTATTCCCTATCCAGGAACAAGGAATATCTTTCCATTTTCTTATATCCTGTTCAATCTCTTTTTTTCAGAGTGCTGTAGTTTTCAGTGTAAAGGTCTTTTGGTTCCTTTGTTAGATTGATTCCTAGATATTTCTCTTTTTTTTTTTGATACTATTGTAAAAGGAATATTTCTCTAATTTCTCAGTGAGTCTGTTATTTGTATACAAGAAGGCTATTGTTTTTTGAGTGTTGACCTTATATACACATACTCTACTGAATCTGTCAATTAAGTCTAGAAGTCTTTTGGCAGAGTTTTTTGGGTCTTCTATGTAAAGTATCATGTCATCAGCAAATAATAACAGTTTAACTTCTTCCTTTCCTACTTTTATTCCTTTTATTTCTTTCTCTTTTCTAATTGCTTGTGGCTAATGTTTCCAGGACTATACTGAACAGGAGTGGTGATAGTGGGCTACTATACTTCTTTATGTTGTGATTGGATTTGAAGTTTCAAAACTACTAAAATCAGATTTTAGATGTTTAAACTTATGTGTATGACTCCATAACTATGTGTCTGCTTTATCAGCTCAGTTGGACTTAATCTGTTTGAACTTAGTTCATTGGTGTTTATTTTGTAGAAAATAAACTTAGCTAGTGTGTTTAGCTTCACTTCCAAGGTTTCATCACACTTCTTTCAAATTTGGTTACCTAAGCACCTGAATGCGAAGAATAAATCGTTGACAATTTTGAATTAAATTGCCATTGTTATAGATAAGCATTTCAATATGCCTAGTAATAGAAAATTATTTTAATATCAGGATTTTGACAGTAGTTACTACTGATTAGGTCTCCATAAAATTCTTCCTTTGACCTCTGTAATATATTCTTTCATTTTAGGTTTTGTTTTGTTTTTTTCCTTTTAGTTTTTAATAGTTTTGCTTTCTCTTCTCCTTGGGAACTTTAAAAATCCCCTTTAGGCCCCATTTTAGTTCCTTAGTTTTTCACGCCCTCTTTTAAGCTCATTATGTATTTAACCCTCACAGCAGCCCAAGGAAGAGATACTGTTTCTCCTTACTTACTGCTGAAATTAGGATGGATAAAGTTACTTTTTAAGTCAGTTACCAGCATTGGGCTTCTCTTGGGCTGCATAGTGAGAAGGCTTATCCCTTAAGTCATGCATTTAAAATGTTTAACCATTGTGCTCAGAGAGATCTTTCTTAACCATAGGGATGTTTGAGAATCATTTGGCCTACCTAGTCAGTTAACTGTAAACTAAGTATACTTCTTTTCAATCTCTTCTTTCCCACCTGTGAAACTTTATTGAATAACTTAACTCTCAGAAAGTATTCTGATACTAAAACATACCTCTCTCTTTTTGGGGGGGGGGGGCTAGGATATATGTATCTAGCTTGTACAGTGTTTGCTTGTTAATATGGTCTGTTATTTCAATATAATTCTCTGTTTTTCACAACTAGACCACAGAGTTCTGAATGTTAGTGCCCATACTCTTTACTCTTTGCCTAGTCATAAAGAGATCTTTACTATGCTGCATTAAATACTCAATATAGTGAATGTTAACTGAATGGAAGAAGAAATGATAAGCCAACCATTCTAGTATCCTGAAGAATGTTAGAGCAGTCGATTTTTGCTATAGCATTTCACTGGAATACTAAGAATGTTTCTAGTATGAAATAAAAGACCTCAAAGCTAGGGAGAAATTATGTTTCTGATTGGGAATTGAATTTGCTGGTAAAGACAGTAAATTGAGACAATTTGAGATAACAGTAGCATGATCATATGAAAATTAGTATAGAAATCTGTGTAGTGATGTTGTTCATCTTTTAGAAAAGATTTTGAACAAAACTATTATCACTATTAAGCCTACTAATCTTCAATACATTATGCTATGTCATGAGTTTTCATAAGGAAAACTGGCTAGGAATGTATAATATTCTATTACAAATGTGGGATTTAGTCTTTTTTTTTTTGGTACCAGGGATTGAACTCGGGTCCTTGCGCTTGCGAGGCAGGCGATGGAACCACTGGGCTAAATCCCCGGCCCAATGTTGATTTTAGAGATTTTTTTTTTTTTTTTTTGGTACTGGGGATCAAACTCAGGACCTTGCACTTGGGAGGCAGGCACCAGAACCACTGAGCTAAATCCCCGGCCCTTTAGTCTTAATCTTTACTGTGCAAAGTAAATGAAGTACTCTTTGTAATATTTTTTCTCTTTCAGAGTAATCTTGGAAAAAGAAGGGCCTCGTTCCTTGTTTAGAGGATTAGGCCCCAATATAGTGGGGGTGGCCCCTTCCAGGTAAGAAAAAATATAGCTTAAACAAAATTATGGCAATTTTTGTTTCAAGGCATCTGTATTTAGTCGTTTATATACACTTACATTTATAAATGCAGTTTTCAGTGTTTATGGAAAGTTGAAATTTGATTTTCTTCTCAAGGATTTCAGATGTTAATCAGAACAAATTTTTGAAGTAATGTTTGATAGCAAGAAATGGTTCTGAATGTTTTGGAGCTTAACAATTTCAGTACTGTTAGAAATTAACCATTTTAATATGAATGCAATGACATAGTCTATAATATGATGGAAAAGATATTGTATTTGCATTAAATGATTGATACTCTTGTCCTGGGTGAAAATAAATGAGAAATGCTGTATTTATAGGTAAGTTTTAAATTTTAAAATTCTGTGGATGAACTTGAGATTTGGGGGGGACAGTAGTTTTCAAAATTGAAAATAGTGTAGATTATATATCTTTATATTTGATTAAGTAGGCAATATTAAATTAGTAATGTTTGCAAAATAAACCTGTAAATTCCCTTGTAGCTAGTGGCTACATATTGAGCCTGCCTAGAAGAACACTTGTGACCTTAGGAATTAGAAGAATTTTTGTGCTAGGGAGAGGGGACTTGAAAATCTACTTGAAAATCTTTATTGCTAAGGCAGTAAACTACATACTGATGTTTTGAGATGGGTGTTTAATGGTTTTTGTGAATTTAAACCAGCTCTTACATCTTAAAACTTTTGTCTTTAAGAAAAAATAAGTATTTTTTTAAATTAGAACTTTCCCTGCAGCTAAAGGCATAATATTTAAGATACCTATCTCGAGTCTTTCTGCTTCAGATAGCTATCCTGCTCTGTACTCTACCTGAAATTCATGCTTCTTCATGACTCTCCACATAAAAATTAAACTTCAGAGAAACAAGATGGAAAAGTGGAACCAAAGAGCTAGGAAGAGAGACAAGTCTTAGAACAGGCTTGAAAAAGGAACAAGAAGTCTAAAATAATGAAAATTTGTGCTGCATTAAAGGGCAATAAGAGATACCCACAATACCTGGCATAATAAAAGAAACTCAAGGAAGGAGATACTGAAGAGAATCACGATGGCTGTCAGTATGTTGTAACAGTAACCACCTAAAACGATGAGCAGATTGAACCAGGCAGAAGTACAAAGGACCTCCATCATTGTGAAGCAGTTTTTGCACCAAGTTCAAAAAGCAAAGAACAAATAAGGGAACTAATAACTGAAGGAACTTAGCAGTAACAAATAAGACTAGAACTCTAAAACTAAACCATTTTTTGTCTTTGAGTACAAGCTAAACAGGTGGAATACTTCGATTTCCTATGAAAGTAGCCAAAAAGACTTGAACATACTACTTTCCCATTTTTCTGATACCGTTTTATCATAGATTTATCCATGATAAAACACAGTATAAAGTTCATACTTAGAGTGAACATGGATACCCAGCTGTCTGTATCCAAACCATGTACTGTATACCTGTGTTGCTACTTACTGGATTTCAGGTTTTTTTGGTGTGTTGTTTTTTTTTTTTGGTACCGGGGATCGAACTCGGGTCCTTGCACTTGTACAGCAGGCAGCGAAACCACTGAGCTAAATCCCTGGCCCTGGATTTCAGTTTTTTATATACTCTTTTCTTTAAGAAATTGTCTACCAGCACTCTGGAAGTCTAAAGCAGGAGGATTGCAAATTTGAGCCTAGCCTGGGTAACTGAGCAACTGAGATCCTTTCTCAAAATAAAATGTTGTTAAGAAAGTCTGGAGATGTAGCTCAGTGTGAAGGCCCTGGGTTCAATCCCTAGTACCACCATGAAAGAACGAGTGAGTGAATGAGTGAATGAATGAAAAAGAAATTGTCTACTTTGCATCCTGATTGTAAAAAATTCAAAAAGTATACAGTTGCCTTTCTATCTTAAACACATTGCCTCTTACCCATATACCTTTCAACATAGTCTTCTCATAGATAGGCACTATTAAACAGTTGCATGTGTAGCCACACCATAATTTTCCTGGATTAATAATTTTCATGCATTAAAACAATGTATACTTATATTTATAATTATCATTTACATAAATTGTATCACACTAAATATTTAATATAATTTGTCTTGAAGCTCTTTCCCATGATATGTGGGGTGGTTTTCAATTGGATAGTGTTACTCTCCCATAAGTAATTATCCCCTTATTGATATTTTTCAGATTTTTACTGTTAAAAACAACAGTGGTTTTGTGAACATACCTGAACTATTATCTTTGAGTACTTAAGACCATATGTTCTTTTAGTATGCTTACCTAAAGCAGAATTTCTGAATAAAAGAGCATGTGCACATTTAAACTAGAGAATAGTTTACCTTCTAAGAAGGCATATAATATTTTTATATTTAAATAATGAATTAGTTGCTCTTTATCCGTTATCTTTACCAGTCCTGTTTACTGTCTGCCCACTTAATACTTGCCAAGTTAACTAAAACTGGTTTGTGACTGTTTCAATGTATATTTGTTTAATGTTTGATGCAATTACACCCTCTTTCTTATAAATTGACATTGTATGTCTCTATCTGTGAATTGCTTTTATATATTCCTTGCCTTTTTTCTCATTAGGATGTCTTCATTTCTAGGAATACATTGTTTATTACTCTTCACAATGTGGCATCAAATGTATCTTGTTTTTTCTTTCTCATAAAGTGGAATATTTTATTTTAAATTGCTAATTAACTTTTTTCCTAAGCACATTAAAGACATACTAGTGAAACTTTCCTCATTTGCACTTCATTCTGTCCCTTTTGGACAGATAATTGGGAGAGAAATAACGGTATTCATATGGCAAGAAAATCATCAAAAGCCTAGAAAATTAAACAGTGAGCAGGTAGTAGGAATGCATGAAGTCATAGTAAGTTAACAGGAAAAATATTTACAGATCTAATGGACTGTTTACAAACATTGGAAAACATATCCTAACCTTTTGTTGGGATTATTGTATCTGTTTAAGAAGAATACTGTGGAGCTGGGAGTGTAGCTCAGTAATAGAGCACATGTTTAGCATGCAATCCCTGGTACCCCTCCCCAAAGAATACTGTGAACTATTCTGTGTAACATATAGATTATAATATACCACAGTATAGCACATACTTTGATTAATTGGATCAGTTTACTCTCTACTCTCCTTTCCCCACTAAAAAAGTATATATTTAAGTGCTCATAGGGCATTTACTTACTTAGCTGTACTACTCTAGCCTTAGCATTGCACATTCTTCATAGCCTTACTCATTCATGGGGTTTCCAGTCATCAAAATTTCTGTCAGTTGCTAAGTGGCTGTCAAAGTATTGCACAGGGTTTGGTTTGTTTGAGGACAAATGCTAGGAACTTTGCATTTGAGTTGGGTTTTTTTTTTGTTTTTTTTTTGTTTTTTGGTACCGGGGATCCTGAGCTAAATCCCGGGCCCTGAGTTGTTTTTTTTTTTAATAAGTTGATACACAAAGCACTTCAGGGTATTTGGGAAAAATGTTGGATAAATTACATGAGAGTCAGGCTATTACATGAGAATCTAGCTAAGACTATGATTTTTTGATTTCTTCATCCTAAAATTAGGAAGATGAAATTGCATTTACTCTTATGAATTAAAGAACATGCTGATTGATAAATTTTTTCTTTTAGAGCAATATACTTTGCTGCTTACTCCAACTGCAAGGAAAAATTGAATGGTGTATTTGATCCTGATTCTACCCAGGTTCACATGATTTCGGCTGCAGTGGCAGGTATGAATGTATGATTCTAAAAAACGAAAATATTTGTGAAGCCTGAAGACTTAATGCCGAATCACAATGCGTTTATATTAAAAAGTTAAGATGATTAGTGTTCTGTTCATTGATTAACATCTGGAAAGATGATTTTTATACTTATTTGTATAAAACAAATTTCATTAGATACCGTATATGTAAAGTTTGTCGTCAGCATTTTTGTAATTAGGAGTTTAAGTAATAGGCTACAGATAATATAATATTTATATTGCTTTGTGTAGTTCGTTGAATATTTAGTGATTACTTTTAACAGCTTTAAGAATCCAACTATAATTACGCTATAAGTTACAGAGCTGTAATTTATTTCTGTTAGTGCCTTTTCCCTTTTTGCTGCATGTTTTGGCTTCTGTCTGAAATGTGCCAGCAGTTCTTGGTAAAATATGCGTTTTGTCCTGTGCTCAAGTGCTGAAATTTTTGTGAGTGCTGTGTTATTAATAACTCAAACAGTAATGTGTATATTTTTAAAAGTATGTTTATTCCGTATAAATCAGACTAGATGATAGCACCTGAAATTTAAACACTGGCTCTGTACATGTTTGTTATAGAAATGATTCCAGGAACTCTTCTGTCATCTTTGATGAGTATATATGATTCTGAAGTAAAACAACTAATCTCAGGTCTGTGCACTGCCTTAAACTGTGAGAGATTGGTTTCACCAGTCTGGTTCTGGAGTCATTTGCTACCATGCATGTTAGACAAAGCCAGGAATTTTAGTTCTCAATAGAAAATTCTCTTAATTTTATGAGACTTTTTAATATATTTAACCATATCTCACATTTCCACATTATGCTGTGGCTTTATAAAGCAAACTATAGCTGCTTTGATCAGTTATTGATCAACAAATTTAATGTCAGTTATGTGCTTAATAACAAGAGCCTTATGTGCAACCATTTTCTATTTAGAAATAAATTCGATCAATTTGAATCACATTTAACGACTCATTTATAAGTTTGAAACACTAATTTCTGAAAGGTTGAAAGCCTTTACCATATAATACTTGTAGCATATACCTTACAAATTGTTTTCAGAGCTTTTTATATATAGCAGTTTTTGACTGATTCATTGACATTAGAAAGCTGGAGGGGAAGGGACAACATTAAAGCTCAATGGGCCGGGGATTTAGCTCAGTGGTTTCGTTGACTGCTGCACAAGCGCAAGGACCCAAGTTCAATCCCCGGTACCAAAAAAAAAAAAAAAAAAAAAAACCTCAAGATAGTTAATACTTTGATTTACCAATAAGAAAATCTTGGGCAAATCAGGTAATGTAAGTGAGCCTCTGTTAGCTTTATCTATAGAGTAGGTTGATCTAGATGCATTAAGATTTTGAAAACTAGTCCTTTTATTTAGTATGGTAGAGATTATCTAGTTAAGTAGAATTATATTTAATGTACTTTTATAGATGTTGCAGAATATGATTTTCCCCCTAAAATTTGAGTGTATAATAAGGTACAAGTCGGTGGCAGTAACAAACCTAATAACCACTGTCTTAGGATCTTTAAGAATATATTTCCAGATTACCAGTGTTTATGATTTTGGTTTTTAACCTCAGTAAATTATAAAGAAATATCAGTGTTATTTTTTTTAAAAAGAAATCAAGAAAGTAGCTAGGCAATTGCTTTATGTTAAAAAAATTGCTTTATGTTGAGAATATATATTCAGAATTGTAAATGTAGAGGTACAGGGTATCTTAATTTTCACTAGAACATCTTATTTCATTAGAATATGTTATCAGAATTTATTATATTTGTATCACATTGCAAAAGAAATTCAGAATTGTCATTTTGTACTTTTTTTTCTCAAATGTGTACAGATACTAACTCAGTTTGTTTTTTTTTCTTTCTATACATTGATACTGTTTCACAACTTGAATTCCTTGAATTTTGGTAAATTGATAGTTTTATGCTTGTTCAGCGATTATTGCACTGTACACTTACTGTGTAATTTGAAAATATTTCTCCCATTTGTTTGCAGTTCCATTGTTCTGAGAATTGTGCTTTCAGAGCTTCCTTGCACTGTTCATGAGCATTAACATTTAGCTTTGCAGTTTTTTAATACATGTTGATGAAACTGAATGGTCCAGTACAGACTCATTAAGGTAGCCTTTTGCCCCTTCTTTTTTTTTTTTTTCAGTACCAGGGATCGAACTCGGGTCCTTGCGCTTGCACAGCAGGTAGCGAAACCACTGAGCTAAATCCCCGGCCCCCTTCATTTTTAATCTAGACCAGATTGCTCTGGGTTTTCTTCACAATCATTTTTAGAGGTCTAAATGTGAATGCTTTGGGGCTGTGAAATACTTACAGATAGTCATGTGGAAAATAATATTTTAACTGACTGTTCAAGAAAAAAATGCTAACCTTGTCACTTGAGTATAGAAAATGCACTGAAATAAGCAATTAGAATAGTGCCTAGGAGATTTTTGCCACATCAACTAGCACACACATTCAGGATTTAGTAAGGTACCTAATTTAAATTCCAAGTAACCTCTCAGTTCAGTCTCGTTTTACAATTTATCTATACCAACTCACATTTAATTTAGATACAAAACCTTAATTTATTAAAAGGACAGCTAAAGTGGGTCTTTTTTAATGTTACAGTGTTATAAGTGAATACATTGTGAGAATATAGTATAAGCTTCTAAGATGTAGCTATAAACTTTCATGCTTAAAACATTTTTCCAATTATGAGGATGTTTAATCAGACTAAGTAATGCTGACGTTTTATGTTTTACCTGCCATTTTTTTCTCTGCATATAACTTTTGTCAGACTAAATTTACCCTAACTATTAAGGGGTTATCTGTTTTGTATCCGTTTAGTTTGAATGAACTTGAATACCTTTTGTATACACATAGGCACAGATGTGGATAGAAAAAAATTAGATTGTTTCTTTTTCAGTAATTCTCAGTTTTTAAAGGTTTTTATCTGGCATTTACATGCTCTTTTTATGTATAACATAAATATTTAAAAATTATTTATTTTTATGTCTATTGTTATGTATTCATACAGTTGGTGCTCAATTTTTAATATATCAATAATGTCATTTAATGTTTCCTACATATCTACTGGATTTTGTTTACAGGGTACATTTATTTTTCAGGATAAATTTTTTAATTTGATTTACAGTTCACAATTAAAATTTTTGCTCATTAAATACAGATTTTGTCTTCAGGTATAAAATGTTTTTAAAACAATATTTTAATTGTCCATGGCAGTTTATTCAGCCAGATGGGTGGTTGGACAGATGTTTTGTTTATGTGTAAACATTCTTCCTGTTTTCTGTTTTGTAGAATATAAAAGATTAAATACAAAATACTCCATAAATATGGATGTACAGTATTACTGGCTAGAGTGCAAAAAGTGAAAGGTACTATGGTAAAAACATTTACTTTATTTTAAAATATGTAAGTTCCAAAATGAAGTTACTTGAATATTCTGTTGAGGTTTTTATTTTCTTTTGTTTTGTTTTGGTTCAGTTTGGTTTTTTGAGACAGGGTCTTATTATGTAGTCCACTCTGGCTTTGAACTCACTATGTAGCTCAGTCAGATCTCAAACTTACAGTCTTCCTGCCTCAGCCTCCCTGAGTTCCAGGATTACAGATGTGTGCCACCAAGCCTTACTGAAAATGGATAGAAAATTGTGTTTTGAGCTCTTTGACAATGAAAGATAATAATAATAGGAAAATAGGATATGGTAATCCCCTCTAAATATTTTGTTTTTAGATTTCCCTCTGACAAGGTTAGCATTTTTTCTTTAAGATAAAATTGATCTTGGTTTAGGTAAGTATTTGGACTCAAATTCTGGGAGATAGATGGTGGGATTTTCAGTACTCGGTGCATTTTTTTAAAAGCCCATACTGATATTTCTTTCTCTCTCTTTTTTTTTTTTAACTTAAAATTTTCACAGAAGTTAGATCTCACAGTAAATATTTCTCAAATCCTTCCAGTGGGATTCAGTTTGTACACATGTTTCTGATGAGGTCACTGCTTGTTATTATGATACAGAAAAGCCTGTGTCTATTTTAGGCATTTACTGTACATTTCTCCCGAGAAAAGAGTGAGATCGTGTCATCTCATGCTCCCCATCCGCAGGTCACTTCCTGTAGAAATATGGACTAACTTAAACCTCGTGAGTACTGATCTGAGCATCTCTTGCAGCCTCTGGTATAAGAAACACACCCTGGGATTTTATAGTGGCTATGGAATTAATAGAAGGCGGGAAATGAATTTTTATTTCCTGAATTTGTGTGTGCATTATTACTTTATAAGAATTAATTGTGATCCCTTTGTAATCCTTTCTAGAAGGAAGAATGGGTACTTTTCAGTCATCATGTAAGCCTGGGGTCTTCAGCTTGGCCATAACAGCCTTGACCTCCAAAGAATTTAACAGTATATATGTATAGTTGTAAATGGTACCACACCGTCCTACAACATTTAGATAAAATAGTAGTTCTCTTTGCTTAGCTAACATTTTAAAAAATCTGGTAACAGTGCTTTCCTGTCTTGTCTATTGATACTTGGCTTTCTACTCTTTTGCAAATATATTGATCTTAATGCTATTAGTATTTTCCAAATAAATTGAGGATACAATATACGGGATCTTAGCTGTTTTAGTTTTAATTGACTTTTAAAATAGTTTTAAAAAGTTTTTCTGTGGTGACATGGGTTTTGTTCTTACAAAGTAAAAAGTACTGAAACATGCAGTACTACAGGTATCACTCACTTAATGAAATAAACATTTTCAACAAGGAAATTTATCAGGAATTACCTGTTTATCTGGTTTTTAATGATTCACACTATCAAATAGAGTTTGATATGAAGCAAAACTTTAAAAATTGCATTTAAAAAATATTAAAGCTTTTAATAAAATACTATCCACACTACTAACAGTACTAACAGTATAGTTAATTAATATAAATTATCATATTGTCAGTGTTTCAAAGCGAAAATGCAAAAAAATAATAGTAATAATAGGCAGTTTCTAAGTTTCAGGAGCAGCAGTCTCAGTATCTTTATGTGTGCTTTGTCTTAGAAGTAGGGTGAAGATAAGTTAAGCTTTGGCTAGTCTCAAATTGCATTGTAGTGTAATTTTAATTTTAAGTTAATGGTGAATTTTGGGGTTTTTTTCATTTGCTTCATTTCTTGAGTTAATAGGTTATGTATTTCTAGATTTAATTAGCCTAACAATGTCTAAGTATATTAACTTATTTTTTGGCTAAGAGAAAGTAATAGAGTAAAACTCAAGAACTGACCAGTTTTAACTGCTGAAAGACAAATAGTTAAAAACCAGTGGGTTATGCCTAGATTCCTTGTCCAGCCTCATACTTTATTGGCCAGTAGACTGGTGTATTTATTAAGAAAGCTCTAGTTATTGGGAGAATTGAGACAGAACAATTAGAATAAGTATAGCTTACTGATAATAGTAATTACAAGAGTAATTGCAAGAGATCACAACGTTCTCTCACTTACCTGAATTTTAATGTGACCTCTGATAAATAAGTTAATTTGTACCTGGAAATGAATTTTAGTTAAGTGAGAAATACCTGTTGTTTGCTTTCTGATAGTGATTATTAATATGCCCATAGACCAATTTAAAATTATAGTTTTTGAGTATTTAAACATTTTTATTACTAGTAACATTTATAAATATTTATTGTGTGTGTATATATATGTGTATGTACATATATATATGTACATACACATATATACATACAGTTTTTCCCAGCTGAAATTGAGAGATTGTGACTTATTTGAATAGTATTACATGGAGAAACTTGGGTACTAACTTTATAGCCTTAGAATAGAGCTTTTATTTAAAAAGAAAAAACTTTGTTGCTCATCTTTTTATTGAAGTATAATGAGTTGAAATGTTTTATTTCAATAGGCTGCTTTTTTAAAAGTTTGATTCAAGGATTTCCAGTTGTAGGCTTTATAAAAGTCAATGGTTTTTCTTCATTTAAAAGTTCTACAAAATGATTTATAAAAATTATTATGAATAATGCAAATTTTGTTGGTTAATGCTGCTTAGCAGCTTCTTGCCTATAAACTCTTTTAAGTCCTTAATCTTACAATACAGACATCTAATATATTTAAGAAATAAGAATACGATTCTTATTTTAAAAATGAGAATCATTAAATTGGGATTTGGCCAGAGTGTTGATTTTTTGCTTTAAAATTTAATTTGAATATCTTTAACTTTTTCACTTAGAAAAGCGAGGTTCAAAAGAAGAAGAAAAAATACTGTACAACTTTGTTCTCAATTAACCCAGACCAGGCCAGACAAATATTTAAATGAGTCTGATAGTTCCATGGTTTTTTTTTTCTTTCCTTATACCAACATATATCCATAAAAAGAACCTCTCATTGAAAAAGGTGTTCCTGGCAACCTATTCATCACTTTTCATTTTTATTATTTTAATACTGACTGAAGCTTCTGAAGTTATTGGTCCCATGCTAGTTTTATGTTTATGTATGTAGTATTAAAAGCACTTAAGATAAATGGAAGCTATGTAATTTTTATAAAAATATTAAATGAATTACTAAAAATTCAATTTATCTTACTTGCAAAATAGATTTAATTGGAGTATCCCTTTGTGTAACATGTGTCTGTTTCTACAGCATTAAAACAGTGTGTTAAGTAAAGTTTGAATTATTTGTTATCATAGAAGAAGAAGGAACCTAATGAGGTCAAATTCAGTTTTATAAACAATTTAGTAAAATTATTTTGTATACGTAGATAGAGTGACTCTGAAAGCCAAGAAAGTAACTGATTGGTTCCACATTCTATATTTTAAAAACAAAGTACAGAGGTACCTCGGTTCATGAACACTTTGGTTTGCAAGCAGAAGCATTTGTCAAATTTTTTTTTTATTTACAAACTGCATTGGATGACAGACATGACCATGACCATTTTTTTGAGAATCGTGGAATGAAATTAAGTTCGTTAACAGAGGTACCACTGTATTCCTAAGTATATCGCAACATTTTTGTTCTTGAAAGTACTTATATTAAATCTGATTATAGTACATCTTTCTAAAAATAATGGGCTTGACTGCTAATATGTGGTAGAGAATATCAAAACAGTTAAGATCCTTAGACATTTCTGCATGGAAGTTTTTAATTGAATTTAAAGCCTAGATGAATAAATGTAGCTTGATATGAGAAATTCTGTGAAGTTTATATAACCAGTCCTAAATGTAAAAGCAAACTATGAAAACCCTGTTTTGTGTAGGTGAAGCAATCTTATAAGTTCGCATGATCAAGATTGCATTTTGTGTTCTGCTGTTTTTTCCAAAACTAGGAAGCTGACAAGTAAAAGATATGCATAAGAATAGAATTGTACTGCTCCAGAGATCTTAATTTACTACCTGGAATTGAGCCATTTTAGGTGACTACCCTTCTGTAGTAATAGTTACTACATAGCACTTTAGTCTTAAAGTAAATGATAGCTACCTTCTACCCTGACTTACCTTCATTATCTATAAAAGTGAGAGGGAAGTTCCAATTTGTAATGTTTTGAACTTTTGAGTTTTGTACATGTTTAAGTGGATGAAAAGTAGATCTGTCCTATTAATGCTAACAAAAACCTTACCTCTGTGATACCATTACTTTAATAGTAGTAGTAAATTTATTTGTAGATAAGTATTCGTAGGACCCAACAAGTCTTTTGTGTTATACAGACCAAAATATAACACGGTCATTTATGTAGAATTCATTTTTAATGTAGTGATCTATGACATGAATTGCATCCCAGGTAGCTGCTGTAGAGTGCATGCTTTTTAGCCCTAAAATACACACAATTTCTGTGTTTATTCCTGGAAACAGGTTTCTGAATTCAGTTTAGGGAGTAGAGAGTGCCCTGGAGAGTATTCTAATAGGTTGGGAGAGTGCTTTATATGCAATCAGATTTTACTCTTAAAAGAATCTTTTAGTTAGTCAGAATTTGAGAATTTATGTAGACAAGAAGTAAAGACAAATGTTTATATGGATTTGGAAAATGAAAATGTAAAGCATGTATCAATAGTTTAAATATTTAAAGACATTTTCTTTAATATAGATTCATATAATTTAAAGAATCTTAAAACTAATAATGTGTGCATTAGCTTTACTGAAGTTCATTTTAAACATGTTTGTTTAGGTTTTACTGCAATCACTGCAACCAACCCCATTTGGCTTATAAAGACTCGGTTACAGCTTGATGCAAGGTATGTTAAGTTTTAAAGTGGATATAGTTAATCCTGTCTATAAATTTGTATCAGTATAATTTCAGTCCCTGGTATCTCACCATGGTTTTCCCTTGTTACCCTTTCCTGATAAATTTGTTCTTTTTCTTTGTTTTATTTCATGTTGAAATTTGGGTCTTCGATTAGAAACAAAAATGGTAATAGTTGACAGTATGAAACTTTGCAAATGAAAAATGTGTATTATGTATTGCTTTGTTTTGAGATAATCTCACCATGTCCCCCAGGCTACCCTTGGACTTGGGATTCTCCTCTGTGTTAGCCTTCCTGGATAACTGGCATTATAGGAGTGCACAACCATGCTTGGCTGTGTTGTTTCTTAACAGAAAGGGAAAAGTCTATAAGTCACCTTTTCATTGCTAGAACAAAATATCTGACATATACAACTTGAAGGAGAAGAGGTTTATTTTGGCTCACTTTCAAAGGTTTCAGTCCACAGTTTGCTAGCTCCAAGGCAGAAACAATTGCAAAGGAAGGCTCCTTACCCTATGGCAGCCAGGAAGCAGGAGGGTTGGAAAGAGCCAGAAAAAGAGGGAAGGGTTGGTGATGAGCTTAACCCTTCAAATGCACACCCTCTAGTGACCTGCTTACTCCTATAGCACATTCAGCTATGAACTTAATGGATTGATCCATTGATAAGACTGACACCCTTGTGACCTAGTCACCTTCCAAAAGCCCTACCTCTGAACATGAGACTTGAGGGACAGAGTATATTAACCTAGCCCAACAAGTGATATTTTGCCTTAGATGAGTGCTTATAATTGGCCTCCCAACAGCTGAAGAAGTCACATGGTCAGCCAGTCTAGAGTGAATCTTTGAGAATCATTGCTCGAATCCATTGACCTTGTGTATAGAGATCCTTGGGCTGGAGTAGCACTCTATGCATGGGTGTGTGTATGGTTTTGTGTGTGTGTGTGTATGTATGTGTGTGTCTGTGTTTGTGTTTGTGTCTGTTTGTCTGTACTTCATCTTTTACCTCAGCTTTACAATAGTGAGATTCATTCATTCAAAATTATGGAGTAGATACTGCCACATGCTGGAGATACAACAGGAATCAGTAGGGACTAGCTTGAAATGGCATGCATCAAGGAGTGGTTTGTTTGCCTGTTTTAAGCAGAGGAATAGTGAAAACCCTAGGGAACTAGAGATGTAGGATCCTAGGCATATACTGAGGACTGAGAAAACCAGAAGCATTGCAGCAACTATCTGATCTGTTACAGTAATAATAATGTTAATGATTTTTGGACTCTCTTAGGTTTTCAATCTGGAGTAGGCTCAATGTACAACATATTTCTACTGTTTTTGTATTTTGAGATTTGATAAGTATTGTTATGTCCTGTAGGCTATAAATAAAACTTATCTGGGAGATCAATAACAATTAATTATGTCTGATTAAATACCTTTTTCACATTTTGTCAAGTTGAGCTATATGCTGTTTTGAGAGTTGAAAGAAAGATCTAATTGTTTCATTAGACTAGTCCTTTTAATGAAATCTTTAGTGTTATAGCAAAACTTAATATTTTTTTCTTAAAGCCAAAGATCTGAAAAGTAATGGTAGATAAAGCTTAACCCAAGGGTTAAAAGGTATAACATGCTAGCCCACATTCTACTATTGTAAAACCATAACATTGCAATCAAGAATAGAGCTGATGTGTCTACCTGTCACTCTTGCATGTTCATATTTTTTAACTTTCTGGTTAAGATCTCTGATGTCGGAAAATAGTTACAGTTTGGTTACATGGATCATTACACTAAGTAGGTATTCAGTATCTAAAGAAAATCATTATTTCATAAAATTGGAGGACCCTGTAAGTTATCAGGTGGACCTTTAATTGTGGTTTCAGTTGGTTATGTCAGAAACAGGTTAGATAATGATTTATATTAGGTAAATTTTCTATTTCTTTCCCTTTAGGTGGCATTTAAGCTCATTTCTCTTAGGGAGCATTCTGTTGGGGGACTGACGTGTTAGAGTAGATTTTGTATCCTGTAAGAGTAGCTACTGCACTATTACGTAGCACTAAGGAAATTGTGTTGGGAACAATATTAAATGAACACTTGATAACTATTCATCAGGATACTGATATGGCCACTGCCTTTAAATTATCATAGAAAGTTTGATTTATATTTACCTACTCACTTTTGAGGGAGAATCTTGGTGGAGATGGAAGAACTCCCCAGGCTCACAGAAATTCAGTTAATCATACTCCTTGGTTTATTGTGTACTATCATAATTATTGTCTCCATCATTGTTTTTGTGTTATTAAATGCAAAAGAAATTCAACGTAATTTGAACTGGAATTAATACAGTGTAATGTGAAGGTCTTTTTGTACTTGTTTTGTTTTTACCTTAAGCTGCAGCCAGAGTGTAGAGCTCCTAAAGGAGTTTGTTGGTTATCTCTACTACCTAAAACCCAATTAGGAGGATGTGAAACTAAAGAGTCAGTGTATTTTGCATTCAGTAAAATAAACTGTTTACATGTTATCTGACCAGTATAAAAAAATTTGGGACAAATAATAAATATAAAAATACACGTGATTTTAAAATTTTGGTTTCAACCGAGTGTGGTGGCACACACCTGTAATCCCAGCACTTAGGAGGCCAAGGCAGGAGGATTCTGTGATTTCAAGTCTAGCCTGCAGTACAAAGAGACCCTGTCTCAAAACCAAAACAATTCAAAAATAAAAAAAATAAATTTCTGATTTCACTTCGTGAGTTAAAGAAACCATATTTTACTAGAGTGACTTTTTAAAAAATTTATTGGCTAAAAATCCTGTACACTTAATGTCAATAACATTTTTCCTTTTTACCCTTTAGGAGCCGTGGGGAAAAGCAAATGGGTGCTTTTGAATGTATCCGTAAAGTGTATCAAACAGATGGACTTAAAGGATTTTACAGGGGCATGTCTGCTTCCTATGCTGGCATATCAGAGACTGTTA